CCTGGTCCACAGTGAGCACTTGGGAATGTTGCTCCCCCTTCCTGAGCATTGGCCTGTGCATGACACCTTCATGAGTGATGAGGTGGCACGAAGCTGCCCTCTCCGCTCACGGGTGCAGCAGAGAGCGTGGCAGGTATGAGAATGCGATGGGGACAGAGTCATAACCTTGACTGAGGGCTACTGTGAGCTCCCTCACAGCAGGAACCATCTTAGCTTTTGTTGGGTTCCAGAAACACTTTACTCAAAAGGAAGTCTTTCCTCGATGGTGAGGATTGGTAAGTAAGTTATCAATTGCCTCAGTTATCAGTACTATGATATATGAGCTACGAAGTTTCAGGTAACTTGAAATTTGCAGGTGACTGGAACCAGTCTTTTATCAAATCTGCATAATCTAGCCTGGGCTCAGATTGATACAATACTGAGAAGATAGGGAAGTGTTTCATAGTAGGAACTGCTTGGGTTCTGACTTATTTGGCAGGAAGTTCCAGGTATCCCTAAATTTGGGGGGAGCTTAAGACACTAAAGACAAAGCCCAGAATAGGACCCTTTTATAATAAGGGTCTCCCCTAAACCAGCAAGAGCACTCCCTAAAATATTGGAAGATCTTCCCAGCTTACTCAAATCCAGTTTATGTTGATCTAGAGATAATACAACTTGGGAAGTACCAGGAAGAGGTCACTGAGTCTCCTCCACCCAAGTAAATAGGCAAGAAAACACAAGGGAGGGGGTGGGTTGTCACCCTTAGTCCAGGACTGTGGTAAACAGCCCCACTGGAGTCTACAAAAGGCCACTCTGAGGCTCTGGGGCTGGGCAGGTGGCCAGAAAGAGTGAGCAATTGGAGGTCCATGAGCGAGCCTCCCACTCTTTACTCCTCAGGAAAAGTCCTGCCTCCTCTCTGCCCTGTCCCTGGGGAGCAGAAAATGCCCAGGGCCTGGGGCCAGCAGGAGGCGGTTTAAAGTTCCCACACCATCTCCACTCTGCGTCTGCAACCCCCATTCTCCGCACTCTCCACTTTAGTCTGAAACCAATTCTTCCCTCTCTGCTCTTTAAAATAAAAAGTCTTTTTCTCAGCGCAAAAGCAGTATATTAATGTTCTGTGATCTCCAAATAATAAGGGGATGCAAAGAATAGAAATCTCCCATAATTTAACCCTCCTGTCTCCCCAAGATAACCTCAAGTTAACAGTTTAAATATACTTCCAGAATTTTTCTTCTCCATATCTGTATATATCTATACATATGTAATTAGTAGAATACAAATATAAATATATGCTTTCTATTGTAAAAATATCATTTTGCAATATACACTGTTCTCAAGGTGCTTTTTTCATTTAATATAGTAGGTTTTCCATAAATATTTATTATATGGATGAGCCATTATTTATTTACTCAGTTCTTAACTGGAGAACTTTTGAGTTGTGTCCTTACACCCTTCCAATAAGCATAATTATATATATATATAAGAGATAGCATTGAAATGCATACATACAACACATGTGGAAACATACAGCATACCTGCATGTGATACATATGACCTGAAATGTACTAACAAACCACACATGTTGGAAAAGTGTTTCAGGTGCCCTCTGGTATATTTCATGGATATCCCTAGAATATATGTTGATAAATTAACCTCAAAAAGAAAATTTGCAGCCAAGTGTATTAAGACCTTGGGGACTAATGGGCAGCTACCCTGCATGTGTTGCTAGTGTTTTCATGTTGACTTTCAGTCCTTGGCAAGGCACTTGACTGGGATAAGAACCAGGATCCAGTAGTGGTAACAAAGGGCAACATTTAATTTTAGATAGAACAGAAAAATAATCTGCTTCAAATTCTTTTTAGAATAGGAAGGAAAGAATGATTAGTGGAGGGAGGAAAGAAAGAAGAAAGGAAAGAGAAAAGAGAAGAAGAAAAATACTTTCTCCTGATGGTTATTTGGACTATTCTTGCCTGATTCTACAGTGTAATAATTGTAGGTCTTTTAAAGGACATAATATTATGACAGATTTCTCTTCCTTATTTGTTTCTAAGGCTGAATATGCAGTGGTTTACTTCCTGCCACAAGGCTGGAGGCTGGCCCCTCCTAGAATATTCCGAGGAAGTATTTTATACTCCATACCCATGAGAACAAGGATGCCCACAGCTCCTAGGCGTCGTGTTTGCTCAAGTCCATCAAGCAGTGCCCGCAGAGTGGAAGGGACGGGGGTGGCGTGGATGCTGCTGCAGATGGAGGGCAGTGGCCCAGGAAAGCCAGGGGCAGCAGCTGGGCCGTCACTGGGGCCTGAGGGCAGTCACACCAGTCCCCAGATGAGACAGTGATGGTCATGGTGGCTGCACCAGGGACAAGAAACCCAGGTCTGTGGTCTCCATGGTGCTAGGGGAGAAGGAAAGGAGCTTTTGTGACTTTCCTTTCTTTACCAAAAAGAGTACTTAAATGTGAGCCTTCAGCTCTGTGAATGCAAACCGGGGCCTGGTGGACTGGGGAGAACAATTAGGCCAGACACTGAGTGCATAAAGCCAAAAGGGGGTAGAAACTCAGACAATGGTGCCGAAGGCAGGGGTGGGGTCGGGGGGCAGGGGGTAGGGGGGCGGATATGATAGCCAGGAAGGAGTTTCAATGTGGATGAATTAGTGACACGGATATTGATGAGGACAGTAATTAGCAGGGGAAAGGAAGGGCTGTCATTGTCCCAGGGTGAGTAATCAGTCTTGGCAGGTGATAAATAACGGTTCAGCAAGCTCAGCAGAAAGATAACCCCCTGCCCGGGGGAGAGCTGTTGCTGATGCTGGAGACCTCGCCGTTTCTAGGCAACCTACAAAAAAGGACTATTTTTCTTTTGAGGGAAAAACAGGTTAGAGTCTCTCCCCCCGCCCCCAACTTGAGATTACAGTTCTTATTTGATTTCTGCTTTGTTCTTCATTTCCTAGGACAAATGTTGAACTTGTGTAATTTGGAGGAAGTGGACACACACACACACAAACACACACAGACATACTCTTCCTTTCTCTCAAAGAATGTGAATGAGTAGGAGTGCTTTTGATCCAGAGTTTAGCTCTTAGATGCCATCCGGGAACAGGAGTAGGGAAAAGCTTAAAAGTCTTGCTTTTGAAGGTGAAATGCAGGGAACTTGCAGGGCCGTGTCAGCAGAGGCTGGTCCTATGGGGAGCACAGAGAGAGTAGGACCGGGCTCTGGCAGTTGGCTGTGCGGGGTTCATTCACCTTCCAGAGAGCCAGAGAGAACAAAATGTCTAGGCGCTCAGGCCTGTGCTGATCTCACTTCTGGCCACCAGGCAAATTTCTGAGGAACTTTCCTTCTGGGCAAAGGGCAATATTCGTTAACCCCTCTGCTGGCTCTCCAGTCTTTCAGCTGGGAATTTATCCCAGGAGAGCTACTGGCAGACCCTCTCCCTCACACCACATCCCAGACCCATGACGAGACTGGGATATCTAGAAATGTTGCCCTTTTCAGGCTGTTTTCCATCAAACATTCCATCTTGAGGTGACAACGCCACCTTCAAAGATCTGCACTGGTTTAAAGTGAGATTTTGGGTGACAAAGTTGGATTGACTAGAAGTTCAGAACCTTCTAAAAAATTAGAGTTCTCTACTCCCATGTGAACTGTCCTGCTCTGAGAACATTGGTTCTAGGTGCCACATTTTCAAAGAGAGGCAAACAAAAAAGGAACATATTCAGAGAATTGTGACCAAAATGGTAAGGGACCCCAGGTCATGTCATGAGAGGAAACAGCTGAGGGATCCAGGTGTGTTTCACCTGGAGGGGGGAAAGCTCAAGGAGGATGTTGATAATATATCGACAGACTGCCCAGATGTTCTAAGGACTGTCTCACAGAGTGAGAGGTCTGGGTTTGTTTTTCTGTCATCAGAGGGCAAAACTAAGACCGAGGAGAAGTCAGAGAAGAGCAAATTTCTGTTCAGAGAAATCAGAGTTGGTTTAACTGGGACAGGCTGGCTGGGGTAGAGTTTGTGAGCTCTCAGGTACTAGAGTTTTTCTAAGTGGAAATTACAGCATCTATTGTCCTGGGTGTTGTGGATGGGGCTTGTGTACTGGCTAGGATTGGAGTAAATAAGCTTTAAAAGTCCTTTCTGATTCTTAAGATTTTATATTAGTTAAGGTAATACTAGATGCCAAAATATATAACCCTCAAATTTCTGGGACTTAACATGACAGTTTATTTTTCAATCAGGTCAGAACCGAAAATAGGCATCAATTTTCCTGGCTGTTCAGGAGCGCAGGCTCCTTCCACTTTGTGGCTCTGTCCTCTAAGCCCTTGGAGTCCTCTCCATTCAGCCAGCAGATGAAGAATGAAAGAGTGTCAAGGTATGGAAGGTCACGTGGGAATTTTTATGGTCAGGGTCTGGAAGTGGCGTATGTCATTTCTACCCGCATTCCACCATCAGAACTCAGTCCACGCCCAACTGCAGGAGAGTCTGGAAATGTAATCTAGCTGTGGCCCAGGGGGTGGAGGAAAGAGGTTTTGGTGAACACACAGAAGTTTCTCCCACAGACACAGGGGCGTTTTCATTCAGGATGGACCCAGGCCAGAAAAATTAGAGATTTTTTTTCAGGAACCTGTGAGGTCGTCTGTGGTGGTCAGGCCTTGTCAGTAAAGATAGGGAGCTGAAGAGGCTTCCTCCCTCAGGAAATGGTCTGGGGGCCAGGATGATAAAACTTCACCTATCCTGTCATCAAAATCTGTGTTCTCAGGAAGTCCCCTACCGATGCTCCTAAGAAATGTGGACACAAGATCATCCTAAGTCATCAGAAGTGGATGTTTTTTGGAAAAGAATGGGAGTGTGACTACGGAAGTGTACCAATGGATGTTTTAAAAAAGGGTTAGTTAGGATGGAAAATAGTCAATGTTATCCACCTCTCCAGGTGTGTGTTAATTGAAATTAGGGGTCTCTTTGGTGAACATATTTCTTCTGGCGCAGGGTTAAACACTCAGGAGGTCTTCAGTTGAAATTGCTTTATCATTGCAGGTACTGACATTGTGCAGTGGCTTATGAAGAACCTTTCCATCGAGGACCCAGGTACCTGACCCTTGACCTTGACTTTATCCCCTGGGTTTTTTTAAACAACCGTAACCAAGTTCCAAACTAGATTATCTTACCCTCCTGAGAACTGGGCTTATATGTTTGAATTCCAAGATGTGGAAGCCCTCTATTTACAAATAAAATTAATTTATTTTCTCCACTGAATATCTATCTTTAAATTTAAACCACCCTTTGTAGAAATGAGTAACTATTTAGAATGCCAAAGAGCCCAATACAATAACCTGTGAAATGAGATGAATTCTCATTAGCCACAGCAATTAAAGATAAGTTGTAGCACTGTCACTGAACAGCCTTCTGCAGCCAGCTCTTAAAATCAGATTCCCTGATCCACAATTAAGATGTTTAATTATTTGCTAAGACTCCTTCTGTTTTCTGCTTCTGCAAGAAGTGAAGGAATGATTTTTTTTCAACTTTAATTGTGCATTTCAATTAGGAAAACCTTACCAGAAAAACAACAACAAAACCCTGGCCAATAAAACAGTTTCCAAATCTGTCCTCCCACCAGAAAATAAATAATAAAATTTATTTTCACAGCATAATTAGAAAATAGAGAGCTCCAGAAAAATGAAAATTCTAGATAAGTAAAGCTTATTATTCATGTGTTGTTAGTGAATACTTTTCTGAATTTATTATACACTTGCTGTCTTAACCGAGTATTCTTGATGCCTAAAGGTCATATTTATAAATATCCACTAATGTATTCTGATGTTCTTGGGGATTAGACCTATTTGCCTTAAATTAAATGGCTTCCAATTGCTATGCTTTTTAAAGATTTTTTTCAAGTGCCCTTTCTAGGTGTCTGACCTTCAGCTGATTCCTTGCTGGGCTCAGTATATCAGCTCAGGCATTCCCTGTGCTTTAATCTAATGCCCCTGATATACTATTGACTATGAAATAATATGATTTACACAGAATTCAATTAAATATAGTTGCCAGAAATCTGAGTGCCAGAAAAGCAGGTCATTAATGGAAGTGACACTAGCCTTTTTTACCATCCTGATTAATGGCCACTCTCATGACTAGTGAAAATTCTTAATTCTAGCCAAGTTGTTAATCCACAGGGGAAAACTATCAATGCTAATTCCTTTAAGGAAAAAACCCAAATCAACTACCCCGTGTGTTTCCCATAGGCAGCCCAGACTTCTCATTGTCTGCTGGTAGAAACTGGACTGAATAAGTGTCTACCAGTTTACTTACATTTATTTAACGTCAATGTTTCTTTTGATTATGATGCTAACCAAGGAACACCTTTCTGCATAGTGGTCTTTTCTCTTCCAAGAGGCCTGTTTTCTTCACCCTTCTGAAATAACCATTGTATTTCTGATATCTATTTTGTTTTTATTGTTAGTAGCAGCAATAGTATTCTGAGAACCCTGAACCAGCTAGTGGTGAGGAGCATAGGCTCAGGAATCCTCTGGCCCTGGTATGAGAAGCTTCTGTGAGAGGTTGCAAATGACAAGGGTCATGTCTATGAAGGTCTGTTATACTCTGATGCCATTGGGAGGACACTGAGGTATTGGGACCTGTTTGGGCTTCTGAGAAGTCGTTGAGTAGGAGGAGTTGAGAACAGTTCACCAACTGGGAATAGGAGGGCAGAAATGAGGCAAACCAAGGCCCTGGGAAGCCAGGCATGTCCAACCTCTGCCCCTCCCTCCCTTGTTTCTTCCCAGCTGCCACATTTCTAAGCAAAAGCCTTATTAAGAATGAGGTGAGAGTTCTAGCTCCTGGGCTGGTGACATGCAAGTCACCTTCTTACTAGATTTTGTTCTTCCTTCCCTGGGAAAGGAGCAGCTGCCGGTGATGAAACCTCTTTTGTGCTGGACCCATGATTCTTGAGGCGTATAAACTTTAAAAAGCAAACTGGTCATCACTAAGCAAGTCAAATGTAGCTCCATTCACTCTGATTCCACAAGTGTTCGTTTATTCTGAAGAATGATAGGTGGTTCTAAATAAGCAAAATGTTTGGATAATATACAACCTCTTGAAAACTTTGCAAGTAAAGCCAAAACAAGTCGCTTTAAAAAATTGAAAGTTTATGAAATTAATAATTCCTAGAGACTCCCTGAGCATGTCAATAATTTCCACATCCAAAAATTAGTTTTTACCAGTGAGAGTACTCTTATATTTGTGAAAGATTATCATACCTGGTAGAACCATATAGATTTATTTTTTTTTCTTAGCTCTGCTCAGAATAAATATAAATTCTTAACTATTTATGTGACTCTATTTATGGTTGGTGCTAAATAACAAAACAAGAGGTTGATTGTGGCAAAAATATAAATATTTCTATCAGGTTGGCCTCCCTGTGCCACTGCCCCCTGCATTGCCCTTCCTCCAATTTTCTGAGAAAGTGAGGTTTCACTCTATGTCCATAAGAGAAGGGCAGTGCCCTCCCCACTGGTGGGACTGTCCTAGCAGGGAGTGCGTCGTGGGTCCAGAGTCTCTATGGGTGCTGTGGCTGCATGCTCTGTGCTGGGGATGATGAAAAAGGATGGAACTAAAAGTCTGAATCGGGGCTGCCAGCGCCTATTGGGCACGTACCCTGCTCCAGATACCACTAAGCACTTTACATGGAATATCTCACTTCATTAGGTACAGGTTTATCTACACCAAAGCTCACGCTCTTAACTGTGGAGCTAGACTTTCTTCTGGAAGTCTTGGGGGGGTGGGGTTAAGCAATGTCAGCCTCTCGGAGCTGGGATCCAGAGGAGTCCCAGACACGTGGTGGCCCTTCCCAACCATTGACATCTCCCCCGAGCCCAGTGCCATCATATCATGAAGTTATCCATCAATCAATCAATCAATCATACACTTATCTGGAGTGATGACAGTTGTCTTCCGGGTGCCTTTCTGCTCTCCCTGCTTACATTTCAGCTAAGCAGCCCTGCATTCTGAAGCTTCCTAATCGCTTCTCTCTTATGCCCTGTTCCCGCAGTTGAAGCAATACACTTGGGAAGCCTTATCGCTGCCCAGGGCTACATCTTCCCCATCTCGGACCACGTTCTCACCATGAAGGATGATGGCACCTTTTACCGTTTTCAGGTAGGCCTGCGGCTCCTCCTTCTCCAGAACCTTTTCTTCTCATCATCATCTAATCTCAGATTAGAACTACGTAAAAAAACTGAGGGTATTAAGGGAGCAGCCTTTACTTACCACCAGCACTGGGAAAACCAAGCAAACTTTTCTCTGAGCCATTTGTTGCTCCACCCAAATAATAGTAAAAAGGCCTCGTGAAGAATACTATTTTGGGGCCTCTTTACACATTTTTCCTCATTTATTCTGAAGAACAAACTTTTGGGGGGTAAATATCACCCATTTTACAGGTGAGAAAACTGAAGCGCTCGGAGAATTAATGTGGCACTTAGTAAACCTAGGAGGCAGCCCTGGTTTGAACCTGGGTCAGCCTGATAGCAAAGTCCTTGATCTTTCTACTGGATCATGCTGCCTTCCTGGTGTGAAGTTTCTGTTCACTACCTACTAACCCTTTCCACCCATCTCCACTCCTTTTCTCAGATCCCTTCCTAGAGGGAATTGGGGCAGAGGACAAGGGGTTGTGTCCAGGCCAAAACCAAAGGGTTTGGGAGCAGAGTTCTTCAGACAAGGTCGAAGGGTGTCTTAGTCTGCCCGGGCTGCCATAATAGATTGCCATAAACTGGGGACTTAAACAGTGGAAATTTATTTCTCAGTTCTAGGGGCTGGAAGTCCAAGATCAGGGTTCCACAGGGTTCAGTTTGTGAGGAGAGCTCTCATCTTGGCTTTCAGACAGCTGCTTCTCGCTGTATCCTCACATGGTGGAGAGACAGAGAGAGAGAGAGAGAGAGAGAGAGTGAGAGAGCTCTGGTGTTTTCTCTTGTAAGGACACTAATCCTATCGGATCATGGCCCCATCTTTATGGCCTCATTTAACCTTAATTACTTTCATACTCCAAATACTGCCACGCTGGGGGTTAGGGCTTCAACATATGAATTTTAGGGGGACACAATTCAGGCCATAGCAAAGGGATGAAGGAACTGGGGGCTTGTAAACTGTGCCGGTCTGACTAATGTATTTGACTTCTGTTGTCTCGGGATAAGAAATTTTTGCCCTATAAACTAAGTTTCTCATTTTTGCATTTATTTTACTTACCTTGGATTCCATTTCTCAACAGCTAGATTAAGTGGGCTCAGCTGTGTTGAGAACAGGAGAGAGTTAGGGTGTGGTGCCAGCATGAAGGAGATGGGGACAGAGCCTGTCACGGGGGGAGTCCTCCCTGGGGGCAGGGGAAGGCAAGTACTGGCATCTTGAGTCCTGACACCCATGCTCTTTTGCAGGCCCCGTACTTCTGGCCTTCAAACTGCTGGGAGCCTGAAAACACCGACTATGGTGAGCAGTGAAGCCAAGGCCCACACTTAGTGTCACTCCTGGGAGTGCGGAAGACAAATGCTTGGTGTCTGGGTGACTGCTGTGCACAGGAAGGAGGGATCTTTACCTTGTTTCGTCCTTTGTCATATTGTTGACATGTGATAAACGCCCTGTTCCACATAGTGAAGAAAGGCAGAGCACACTGAAAGATGCAGCCGTTGGGAGGGAATGGGGTAAAGGAGGAAGAGTCTATCCAGGGTTGCCAACATGCTTATTCTGTGGGGCCATGGAGAACTAGGATTCCACAGCAACACTGTAGAACAGCGGCTACTGACTGTTCCTTCCTGGGGCAGGGTTTCAGGGAGGGCTGGATCAAGGGGCCACCTTCTCCTTTCCTTTCTATTCTCATAGACTTGTTAAAACTTATCAATAACTCATGGGTGTTTTTGATAATTGGAAGTTAGGGGGAAAAGGAGACAGACCAGGGAGGGATATACAGAAGTTACCCTGGACTAAGAAAAATAAAGAGTGGGTGAAGTTGGGATCTGGGTAAGCAGAGAGTTACCTCTATCCAGGCAGGGATCTATTAGACTCTTGCCATATGCTCTCCACAGAGACTGTTTAATATTTCTGTGTGCCAACTCCCTAAAGAAGTTATATTGTCCGTATACTTTAGATAAAGCCGCAGCCCAAAGAGGCCACATCCTCACACTTATCACACTGTATTCTACTTGTCTTGATGCCCAGTCAATTGTAAGTTCCATGAGGGCAGGGCCTGGGTCCACCTTGTTCATTCTCATATCCCCCAGTGCATAGCACACGCCTGAGGCACAGTTGGCGCCCAGTAAATATTTGCTGACTGTTCTGGTTCTTTATTAAAGGTGATTAGCAGACACTCAGTAGAGGCAGCAGAATTTGAACTCAGATCTGAGTGGCTCCAAGGCCCATGCCCTTTTCCTGGTCCTGTGCATGGTGTCATCACAGCAGCACATGCCCCATTGCACAGCGTCCCCGTCGCTGACTTCGCTGCTGGGGCAGTCCACAGGGGCTCTCCCTGGGCCTGGGGCACTCGATGAGACCTGCAGCTTCTCCCTGGGTTCCCTGCAGGATTATTTGCACAGGAGGCAGAGGCAGCTGCAGTGGAGGGAGGAAGGCGGCAGGGGGTGTTCTGAGCATCCTGTCTCGGAGACCTGTGTGGTAAGCTACACCCTCCGGATCACGCATTTGAGGGAGAGGAAATCTGCAGTTGGAAGCAGTCCTGAGCGTGGAATACGGACAAGTCATTGCCTAATAAGGCTCCCGTTGTTCTGTTTCCGCGTCTGGAGGATGGCCCTCTGATGTCTCATCAGCTGTCTGCAGGCACCACTGTGGGTCCCTCTGGAACGGTGCTGCCCTAGGTGATGAGATAAGTGGGTCCAGCGAGGCTTCTGGCTCAGAACGGGAGCTGCATGTGGCTGCTCATAAAACAAGGGCTCCTGGGGCTGAAATACTGCTCGTGAAAATCCAACTCGGAATTTGAGTAATTGTAGCCCAGGGTCATGCAGCAGCCGTGGGCCCTTGTGGATGTGAAAACCAGTATTCTTCCAGGCATTGGAGAGGGTGGGAGGATGATGGGACCACATAGCTGGGCCCAAGTAACATTAAAATAGTTACTTGAATATAAACCCATAAAGCTTAGGCCATCTTACACTGCGTACGACGGAGCATTATTTCCCTTCTCTACAAGTTTTCTCCGTTTCATAATGAAATTTTAGTTGTGCAGCGTGAACAGGGATAGAAATAATTTATATCAGGTTCTTGTTAAAGCAAAATTATTTTGAATTCCTCTGCCTCCATTTTGGCAAATCAGGTGGAGAGGTCAAGGTGCAGGATGCAGAAGTACTCATCAGCATTTCCAAAGCAATGTAGTCAGAAAATCAGTATTTCACAAGAGAATTCAGCACAGTGGCCCCAGGATGGACTGGCTCCACTAGCTGTGTGATCTTGGCAAGTTACTTAACCTCGCTGTGCCTCGGAAACCTCATATTAAAAGCAGAATCATAAGGGCCCGGCCCAGTGGCGTTGTGGTTAAGTTCGCGCATGGGTCCACAGGTTCAGATCCCAGGTGCGGACCTACATACCGCTCATCAAGCCGTGCTGTGGCAGGCGTCCCACATATAAAGTAGAGGAAAATGGGCACAGATGTTAGCCCAGGGCCATTCTTCCTCAGCAAAAAGAGGAGGATTGGCAACAGATGTTAGCTCAGGGCTAATCTTCCTCCCCCCAAAAAAAGAAAAGCAGAATAATAATAGTACTTGTTTCCTAGTGTTGTTTTGTTAGGATTCAGTGAAATGCATATAAGGTTTGGTGTGTGGCACATAGTAAGGAGTCAATAAAAACCATGGTGATGGTTGGTATCATCGCAACTGTAGTGGTGGTTGGTATTATTACTGTTACAGTGATGTTTGGTATTATTAGTACTGTGGTGGTCCTCTTGCCAAAAAGAGTGGGAAACTGAAGCTAAGAATTCAGAGTAGGTATGATTTGGATTGACAAAGAACCAGAAACTTTCATTCATTCAACAAACATTTACTGCTCACCTGCTCTGTGTCAATCTATGTCACAGATTTGAATAAGTCACAGTCTTGCCCTCCAAGCATTCCAGGCTGGGGGACGCAGCGTGATGGGGGAAGACAGGCATGGTGAAGAGTCTGATCTGAGTAGTCAAAGGTTTTATATTGATGAGGAATGATTGAGAAGGTTGAATAGTTTGGGACGGGCAGGTTTATAAAAGGCCTCTGTAGTCAAGGAGAGATGTTTAGAATAGAGTCAGCAGTTTCAGGGAGCCACTGAGGGTCCCCAACAGTGGGGAATGACCCGAAAAAGTTTCCTCATCTATAAAAAGAGGATAATAACAGAACCAACCTCATAAGAATATTAGGAGGCTTGAGTAAGTGAACATCCGGACAGTTCCTAGAACGGTGGTGACATTCAATGAGCTCCATGAGGTGGTAGCTGCTATTATGGTGATTCCCCAGGTCCTAAAAGAGTGCTTGGCACCAAAGAGGCACTCAGTACATTTTTAAATGGGTGAATGAATGAGTAATGAATGAGTAAATGGGAAACGACTGTCATCATGGACAAAGCTCTGAACTAGACCTCAATTCTAATTCCACCTCCACCACTAACCAGCCCCCTACCCAGCCCATGGGTAAATCGCTTCACCTTTCTTGGCTTCTCCTTTTCCCATCTGTCATGAGGGGTCTGAACTTGATGGTCACCAAGGTTACTTCCAATGCTAAAATCCCATTGTTCTAAAAAATGATTAGAGGGTATGAGGAAAATAGAGAAATAAGTGATTTATATGTTCCCTAGTTTGGAAGATTGAGGTAAATATGATGTCACTAGTAAAAACAGAAAATTTGGAAAAAGAGTCAGTTTTTTTAAGTATATTGAAATAGGACAAATTCAATTTTTTAAATGTTTAATTGCACACATAGTACATGAATCTTTTCACTTTATAAATTCTTTAATGTGCTCTTTTTTGTCATGGTGAGATGTGGTGAGCTTGAGATGGCAGTGGGTCATCTAAGTGAGATGCAGTGAGGTGGGAATACCAGCTGTGAGGGCAAGAAGACAAAGGTTTTTCAATGATAAATTAAATATCCAAGAAAAGGCAACATCTGAGCTTAAAGCAAGTCCCCCCAGATGCCCTGTTATAGGACTGGCTGTCGTTACCAGAGGTCATTTTGACTGGTTAGATGTTAAAGCAAGTACTGTGGAAGGCACCACGGTAGTGCAGAGAAGCCCAGGGAAGGTCTGTGCCAAGAAGAAGACCCAATCAACAGTTACGTCCTACCTCCCTCGTTGTGGTGAACAGACCCCCTAGTATATGACGTTGGCCACAGGGGAAGTGGCTGAAAGCGTGCAACCGTGTAACTCATGGTCCTCAGGAGTGGTGACAGCTTTTCATTCCGTGCGTGGTACTTTACTTCACAACCTAGCAGGTACATTTGGACTCAGATGGGTTGCAGATTTCTTGGGATGATTCTGCCTGAAAAAAGCCCAGAGTCCAAATCTGGGATAGACTTTTGTGAGTTATACATTTGGCCGACACAAAACACTGTCTGGGGCAGCATTGTCAAAGAGCTGCCGCCTCAGTTGACCTGCACTGCTCCTGGGTCATCGAGACCAGGCCTGCTGGGGCTGGTGACATGCCAGGCTTCCTGCTTCAGGTTGCCCCCAATTCCACAGGCTGCCTAACTGATGGTCCAAGAGACCAAAGAAGGTACCTTGTAATAGAGCAAACACCCCTTATCAGACATGATGGAGAGCTGTAGCTGCTTGGTTCGTTGGAAAAGTTCGTAAGTAGAGAATCATGGAAAAGTGATACATACATATCTTAATCACTTCATAGTCATGTAAAATATACAAAGGAACGTTCATTTGGCAGCCTTGTAAGGTAGGACCCAAGATTCTCTTGGATTATGGGTTCCAATAATTTAAGTTTCTTTCTTAAATAAACCACACTCAAAATAAACCATCCAGTTTTGGTATCTTTAAAGTGCATCAAGAATTTAAAAACACTTTTGAAGCAACCTATATGTTGACCACTCCTAGATTTTTGGTTTTTTTTCCCGTTTTTTCAGTTATCTCACCTGCACCAAATTCATCAGCGATTACCTTAGCCGACTCTCCTTTATCAGGTTGTTCCAAACCATTCAACTGGGTCTTCATAGAAACAACTCGCTCTTTACACGTTAATTTCATCGGTATATATAATATTGAGTGAACTTACGTTATTAAAATAACAGGTGTGCCTGACATAAGCAGATTTGAAAACAAACACAACTGACTCTCGTCCACATACAACTCAACTGGTGTGAGCAGAAGTGTGGGCATACCAGAGTGGGCTGCTAGCCACAAGGTTCCAGCATATTGTGGGCTGCTGTCAGTAAGTTTTTCAGACCACGTGGAGGAGGTTGGTTAATCCAGCGAAGAGTTGACTAGATCTCCTCTTATAATTAAGCTGTCAAACAACAGGTCAGCCACCTGTTGACCTTCCTTCCTGGTCATTCTATTGTTTATTCATACCATTCATCTATTGTCTTCCCTGGGTCATTCTACTTGGCACTGGAGAAGGAGGGAGATATTGAAGAAGCAGAGGTAGAGAGAGGAAATGATGAAGGCCATGTTTGAGGAAGAATGCCCTGGCAACTGAGGGCCAAGAACCCATCCTTAGCTTGGGAAGAGAGACCTCAATTGTCCTCCCTTTCCACTGTGCATTCACTCCACCTGGCAGGCCGGGCCCTGGTGCTAGGTGTAGAGATTCAAGCTGAGTAGGGCACAGCCTCTGCCCTTGCAGAGCCTTCAGCCTAGAGCAGGAGACAGTAAACCCACGATTACAGCGCACTGAAATTAGGTTCCGTGGTTGAGGATGGACAGATGCAACACTGAGCTGTCTGGAACACTGAGCTGGGTCTTCAAAGATGAGTAGGAGGCTGCCAGATAGAGGGAAAGAAGAGAGAAGAGGGAAAAGCCTTCCATGCAGTAAACACATATGCAGAGGAGTGGAGCTAAAAGAAGTTTGGTAGCCTCACACGCCGGAGTGAGGGAAGCAAGAGGTTGATGAGATAAGCAGAGACTGGACCTTATAGAACTGAACGTGCCCCCCTAAGGAGCCCAGTCTTTCTTCTGAGGTCACTGAAGAGTCGATGCAGAGAGTTTAGGCAGGAAGGTAACGTGGTCACATTTATGAAAGATCACCCTAATGGAGGATTGTTGGGGTGAAGCCAAGTGAGGAGGAAGAGGGAGTTGTCAGGAGTGGAAGATGGGTTCCTCACCTGATCCTGACCTGCAGAAAGATTTCTAGAGGTCAGGTGTCATGGCATCCGTGTGGAAACATTCTTCACAGCATAGTGCTGGACACATAGCAAGGGTTGGCTTGCTGGATGGACGGATAGATGGATGGACAGATGGACGGACAGATGGATGGATGGATTTATGATTCCACTACACTGCTGGTTTTTTATGTGTTGTAATTTCTCTTCTTCTCTCAGCCATCTATCTCTGTAAGAGGACAATGCAGAATAAAGCAAGGCTGGAATTGGCAGATTATGAAGCAGTAAGTATGATTATTTTCCGGGAGAGGTGTGGGAAGAGAGTAAAAACATATCTGCAGCTCTGGTTCGGCGTCTATTTTCCTTCCCCAATCCGTTTCAGACAGTGGAAAGGAAGTCTTCTATTTCCCCTTCTTTGTTCTCAGCTCCACTTACCATCACAATAAAATTGCATCTTTATAGAAAGAACTCTCAAAACTGAGCAATAAGAAAATAAGCAACTCAACTTAAAAATAGGCAAAGGACCTGAAAAGACATTTCACCAAAGAGGACATAATGATGACAAATAAGCTCATGAAAAGATATTCAACATCATTCGCCATTAGGGAAATATAGATTAAATCCATGGTAAGATACCACTACACACCTTTTAGAATGGCTAAGATAAAAAGTACTGATAATGCCAAGGAGGAAGGCAAAATGGCACACCACTCTGGAAAATGGTTTGGCAATTTCTTATGCAGATAAATGTATATTTACCAAAGAACCAAGCATCCCACTCCTACATACATACCCTAGAAAAATCAGAACTGATGTTCACACAGAAACCTGTCCATAACAGCTTTATTTGTGATAACCAAAAGCTGGAAACAACCCAAGTGCACTTTAACAGGTGAATGATCAAATAAACATCCATACAGTGGAATACTACTCTGCAGTGAAAAGGAATGAACTAGTGATACACACAACCACTTGGATGAGTATCAAAAACATTATGTTGGGTGAAAGAAGCCGGTCTCAGAAGATTACAAACTGTGTGATTCTGTTTTATGACATTCTTGTAAATACAAAACTATCATGAGGGAAAACAGATCAGTGGTTGCCAGGAGTTATGAGTGGGGGTAGATGCAGCTGTAAAAAGATAGCACAGCGAGTTTTTGGGGGGTGATAGAACTGTTGTATATCCTAATTGTGGTGGTGGTTGCACAAATCTAATCAGATTATGTGTGTTAAAATTTATAGAACCATACACCAAAAGGGAAAAAAAAGGCAAATTTACTATGTGATGATTTTTTTAATTTACTATGTAATGATTTTTTAAATTGCATCTTTATACCCAACTCCCCTGTGCTTGGCAGTAAGGCAGAATCTAAGGACACCATCCAATCCAGAAAATAAGATAAGATGTATGTCGTATGAAGTATACCCTTTCCCAGCCTTCCTCCTCCTCTACCTTCTTTCACAAGATGTGATTCCTTGCAAAAATTGGAGGCCCCACCTCACTCATATCCATTCCCATTTAACAGAGCCAAGGCACGGAGAACTTGAAGACTCACAGATAATTTTTTAAATATTTTTAATTTTTGCTTGCAGAATCTTTCTCCCAAACCAAACTTTACATGGACCACAGAGAATTTGGGAAATTGGCCAAATTTTCACAAACCCTCCAGAGGAGGTGCTGCTGAGCCAGGACATGGCTGAAGGGCCACGGTCAGGAGGAGGGGCAACATTAGATGCCGTGAAGAATCCTTGCCTGGATAATCCAGCATTAACAGCACCTTCAGATCCACCCACTTCCCAAAGGTCCCCTCCTGCTTTCGCTGCCTCAGTCTTCCAAAACACCCCATCAGACCTTGTCACTCTTAGGGACCTGTGCCCAAGCCAACCAACCCAGCAGAGCCACCACTCCCCATTGATCCCACTGGCGTCACAGGACCCGTGAATGGAGGGAGACAGTGGTGGAGGATGCAGGGCAGGGGTTCACCTAGAGCCTCAGGACCTGGCTAAAGCTTGCTTGTCAGTGGGAGCCATTAGACAGAAATGTGTTGGAACATTATGATCTTCCCAAGCAAACTCTGGCATGGCTGAGCATCCTAGGCACCCAGTCCCTGCCACATCTGCCCTCATGCGCCCGCAGTCGCCCCTCTTTCAGAAGACGCTATCTTACCCTTTGTGCACCCAGGGCAAAGCACTTGAACTTCGATGTGGCTACACCATGTTCCCAACAGACTCTATGGGAAAGCCCCAGACTGCGGCAGCATGGGGGCCCTCCATCCTGCGTCTCCCTTCCCAATGTTTTAGAAAAAGTCCTAAACAGAAACAAGGCAGCATCAACTCCTAACTCCTTTTTATTCAATTTTCTCTTCTCTTGCCATATAACGTTCTGCTTGGGTATTTGTAAAGAATATAGCATTAGAATGTTCCTTCAGGTTGAAGTTCTGCCTAAAAGTGATTAGAAACTAAGAAAGCATTTTAATTTAAAAATTCAGGAATTTTCTTAAATTTTTCTGATTGTATATTCTCTTTGTAAAAACAAAAATTCAAACAGCAAAGAAAGGAGAAAAAACAACCTGCAATCCTTCTCCCCTAAGATTTTTTTCTGTACATCCATTTTTTTCTTCACAAAAAAGCTCGAATCCTACCATAAACGTTATTGTGTAAGCTGCTTCTTTGTCCGATCATATACTGTAAGTTTGTTGGGAATCTTTTCAGGTCAGTAATAATAATCTACATATCATTTTTAGTGGCTGCCTAGTATTCCACGGTGTGACTGTGTCATAATTTATATAACTACTCCCCAATTGACTGACTTTCGAGCCTAACAGCTTTGCTTCCCACAAACAGTGGAAGAATCAACGGGACAGTGTTTTTTGAGGTACTTGTACATCAAGCCTTGGTAATAACTGAGTTTATGTGTGGTGATCTTCAACTGAAGCTCCTTTTATGTTAACAATCCACTAATGAGGGTAATCAATTAGTGTTGGCATGAGGTCTATGAAAATACATAGCGTAATGTGGGCTCTGGCCTTGCGTTCCATCAGAATTAGATGGATCATTAGGGGACCTGTCAAATGCCCCGCCTCACTGTCCTGTTGTGCCGCTAGGTAAGTCTACAGACTTAGAGGAAAGAATTCTCCCCTTTTCCTCTAAAAGCAAACCTGGATGCCTTTTCTTTCTCTCTGTTTTTGGATTTTCTTTTCATGAATATCACAAATATAGACACTCCATTTTTCCCTTTTTGAATCCAGACTTTCAAAGACATTAATGCCAGATCCACTTGGTTCTCCTTTCCTGCCACCTTCTCAGCTCCCTGCTTGCTGGAAGACAAGTCTTGAGATATCCGTTCTTGGTTTTGCTTGGAGATGTCCAACATGTTGCAAAGAACCCCTTGTCCTTCCCTAAATCCTACATGAATAGCCACAAACCATTCTCTGTATCTTCAGTGGCCTTTATGACTAGTGCTGTGTGAGTTGTGTTCTTATAAAGCACACAAGAAGAGAGGAATCAGGTGAACCACAGAGACTTCAGACTTAAAGGGTGTGTAAATGAATATTAATAGTTCTGCTCTGTACAGCGGGGTCTGGTGCAAAGTCAAATTGGGTTCTTGTCCAGTGGATTTAAAGTGGGGCTCTGCTCTTTTGTTGGGAGTAACCAAAATAGATGGCTGCCTTGTAATAAGCATAGGTGTCGATGTGCAAAGTTACAATGATTAATGCCTTCTCGTTGATTTTCATTTCTCATCAGGAAAACTTAGCAAGACTCCAGAGGGCCTTTGCAAGGAAGTGGGAATTCATCTTTATGCAAGCAGAAGCACAAGTAAAGTAGGTGAACTTAATAGAGCCCTTGCAAAGAGAAAAAGACTCTCTAGAATTTGGAGGTGGTATGAAAATGAGATTGGCCGAGTAAGGTTTCCTTCTACAGCCGGCCAACTGTGGTTCGTCACTCTAATCTCTCCTGAGAGCAACTGAGTAGAAACTAAGGTCTGGATGGATAAGTTCCATCTCTGTAACCAATGGCACTCTAAAATAATTTCAAAAGTGTGTGCTCCAGCAGGCCATGGGGTTCCTCCCAAATGCTGGACTCTGGTTATATATGTCTATTTCCCAAAGAGATTTTCAATTATTCTTCTGTGCGCAGAGGCTCAAAACCATCAGACTCACTTTACCTGTGCGTCTGAAGATTTTGTCTTTATAGGAAATCACGTTGGAGTTTTAGGGAGCCCAACAAGTAGTCTCTCCCCCATTTCCCCCCAGGGGAGAAGTTTAGAACCAGTCAAAAATAAGGCACAGAAGTCAGACATTTGGAGTCCAAAATGTCAGATTATTACTGATGAAAGCTAGATTATAGAGCATGACTTTGAATCTGTGGCCAGATCTTTACCCTGGAATTAAACTCGCCCATCCTGGTTAGAACTGGATATCTGCAGCCCCCCACCCCCAACCAGGGCAGAGTTGACCCCTGTAAGCTTACTGCATGCAGAGAACAGGCGTCCTGAGAACAGGCCAGCCCAGACAGGGCCAGAAAGGACCGACCTGAGCTTTCTCAGTTTCATTCTTCAAATCTGCCAGTAAGTTAGGTCACTCTTCCTCCGCTAGAGGACAAGAGATGAGAGGAGGAGAAAAGTTGGAATGTTTTCCCCATATTTTTCCCTCCCAGAGAGTATAGTGGAAATTCCTTCCTCTCTAAGGAAATATGAGAAGTGGGCAACAAACGTCCCCAGACCCCAAACATGGTTGTCAACTAGATCCTTTTAATTCTGGGGAGTGGAGTTGCTCAGGCCGAGTTGTCTCTTGTCCTTTCCAGCGATTGTCTCTGGTTTAGCCAGGAGTGTTAACAGAAGAAATGGGACAGAGGTGGGGGTGGGAAAGGGATGCTGAGCTGGAGGAAGGCAAATATCTTTTCCTTGGGTACCACTTGCCCCTGAGCAGACCCCTCTGGGTCTTTGGGGGACCCCCTTTGCACTCTCTGGGCAGTGTGGCAGCCCATCGCCTAGGGCTGGGTCTCGGGCCGTGTGGGTGAGCGTTGATCACAGGGATGGTCATGGTTGGAAATGACCTGAGCTCACTGGGTCCAGTGGTCTCCGAGATGCCATTCCTCTCACCCTCCCTCTGCAGTCTGCTTTCCCCTACTCATGATTCCACCTGCCAGCTGACCACCTCGGTGCTCCCAGCAGCTCCTCAGGGAAGTGGACACTAGGTGCTGAGCTGCGCCAGAAGGAGCCCTGGCCCCTGAGGAAGGGAGAAGCGGGAGGGTGGGTGAGTGAGTGAGAAGGAGGCAGAATCAAGCCTGTGTACTCAGAAGCCACTGGAAAGCAAAGAGGAGTGCTAATTTGTGCTTTCAGGATCCACACAGCATCGCATGTTATAAAAGGAGGGAAATTGTCACTTTGTACATATATGGTATTCCTCCATTAACTTTTTTGATTAACTCTGTGATTACATTATAATTGTGGGCCATTTAAGTACACAGTAGTTATCACAAAAATCACAGGTGATTATGGGTTTATTTCAGTCCAGTAAACTAAAGTGCTCCCAGGAGAGCCAAGAACCAGAAGTTACACGGCAAGTAATCTGAGCTACTTTTTACTTAGAGAGACAATATAAAATAATACAGGCTTTTTTTTTAAGCCTCTTATCTCTGCTCCTGATCAGAACAGAAAGAATCTATCTGTGTCACCTGTAGTTTTCCTCTTGCAATTTGTGCCTTCCCCAGCTGAGGCCAGTGATATTTGCCTTCTGGATCTTGTCACACACGAGGGCTATTACTCTGCTTTTAGAAAGTCAGATGGTTTAAGTGACTTTTAAAACACGTAATTGCTGCATTTTGAAGACATTTCTACTGACTCTGAATCTAAAGTAAACTTTCAAATTTGAAGATGAGACACTGCAAGCCTGTCATTATATTCCTTCCTATAATTTGATTATGCAGTGTCTACTTTGATGGGGGGCATGTCAATGGAAAATTCAGTTCTTAATCATCTAAATGTTAATAATTCTAATGGACAGTTGCATTCTTGTTCTCTCCTTAAGCCCACCATGTTCATTACACATCTTCAGTAGTTTGCAATCTAGCTTAAACAAGTTCTTTTACCATATGTGGACTTCTTGAGGTTTCCTTGAGGGAACTGTCTGCCCGTATTTTACAGCTCTGCAGAGAGCAGGGACCACACAGATGCCAGTAGCCCTCTGTGCACTAAGCTCCTAGAAATGGGAGCAGAGAGCTGACACAAAGATCAGGAGGAAAAACAGAATACAAAAGCCTCTGATTTCCTTTCTTTATTTTTTCAGGATTGATCGGAAAAAGGACAAGACAGAAAGGAAAATTTTGGATAGTCAAGAACGGGCCTTTTGGGATGTCCACAGGCCAGTGGTGAGAAAGCTCTGTTTGGTTCTCTAAGTTTTTTTATTTTGCCGTTTTCTTTGCTTGAAAGAAAAGACTGTCTTTAGCCACTAGGTGTCTCATTCTTAAGAAAATTGCTAAGCTTTGTGAAATTGGTTTTGCAATTCGTACACATAATCTCAGTAGATTTTCTGGAATGTATGTCAGTTCTACCTTTTAAAAATTATCCACCCATGAAAATATGAAATTGGAAATGGGGAAGCTGTGGGAATTCCCAGAAGTTTACATTCCCCAAATAAGCAGTTTCCATTTCTACTGTTGTTCGACCCTAAATCTTAGATTATTCTCTTTCAAATGCAGCGGATTCTCGTCATTCACGGTAGTTATGTTCTATAAGGTGACCGCAAACACTGAATTAGCAAATGCTGAACCGTTATCCTGGGAAATACAGGGTTAGGTTCCTGTGAGCCTCTGGTCATGATATTTTCAGCAACTGATCAATACACAACCTTGTTTCAAGTGTGTTTCTGTTTAAAGACACTGTATTTGATGCATATCGTTGATTCATTAACATTGAACTCACAGCCAACAGCTCTATATCTCATGCCTGAATGAAGCTCATCTGACGTGTATTTTCTCCCTGACTCACATCTCAGCCTTCTTGCACTTAGGGACACTAGACAGCACTTGAGCACTATGCTGGGAGGCCATTTTAAACAGCAAAATCACCAACAGAAAAACACAAAAATGTTGAAAACATGGCACTAAATAGACCATGAAAAGACCACTTGTCTAAGAATGAGATGAAACAAGAAGACAGAGCATCACCTTGTTTGACCTCAGCTGGGAATATGCACATCGGGTGACTCAAAATTTTTGCTGCTCTGTGCATGTCCATGAATGCACCACAAGTATTTGATTTGGGGGTTATAAATAAATTTTAGCAAGTAGGCAAATTCACAAATACAAAATCTGCGAATAATGAGGTTTGACTGTATTTCTAATTTCATATTATTAAAACAAATCTTTCATTTCCCTCATGAAGTGGAACTAAAATGGATAAACTATTGCAGCCTTCCTAAAAGCTGGTTAAAAACAAAACCAAAAAAATAATTCCCGATCCCAATATTGGAGTGTTTTTAGATGGTTAGGGATGTGAAATGAAGTGATCTTGCCGCTTCGAATAATGTTTGCTCTTATAAACTGTACAATATACCCTCTACCTGCCATCCTCAGATGGTCTGGGGTAAACTTTTATATTTCATATAAGAACTCTGTGGAGGAACCCATATTGAAAATGAAATATCTTTGTAAAAAAAATTAGCAAAATGGAGATAATCATGCATTATCTGTAATGGGAAAGATAAAGATTGGTTCTGATGGTGTCACTTGGGCCAAATGGGAAGGTGTGATTTTCACTTAGTAATTTATATGATGATTTTTTTTCTCAGCCAGGCTGTGTGAACACAACAGAAATGGATATCAGAAAATGTCGACGATTGAAGAATCCACAAAAGGTTAAAAAGGTTCGCTAGTTTAGCTGAATTAAAAAATCTTGATGCGAATAGCCCTTCCATTTCTGGCACTGTTCAAACAATAATTTACTATTTGTGATTCTACCCCATGTCGTCCTTTAAAACCATTTCATTCCTTCATTCTATAAATATTTGTGGAGCGGTGGGTGTGTGATTGGCACTGTTCTTGCTGCTGTGGGACAGTGGCAGATCCTAACAGAGCCCACAGCCTGGTGGGGATGACACAAGCCAGCAGGCCACAGAGCCAGAGGGCTGCATCAGGGAAGGACAGGAGCACCAGGATGGGGTGCGGGGGGGCGGGGGGTGGTGCGCCAGACCGGGCATTTCGCAAGGGCTTCCCAAGCAGGCTCAAGAGTGCTGAGGTCTGAAGGGTAAGTAACAGTTGGCTCTGGGGAGGCAGCAGGAAGGAAAGGAAATTAAAGGGACAAAAAGCAAGGAAATCCCACAGGTGAAGGCGAGCTTGGTATTTTGAAACAATGAAAGCCTTTTAGCACAGCTAGGTCATCCAGATTCAAATCACCACCCTGCCCAACTGGGAATGAGCCAGTGATCATTTGTGTTTCACTAGACTGGAAGGTGCAGTGGTTGCGGCATACCTGAGGGTGCCACACTCAGACTGCCCCATAATTGGTGCATCCCACCCTCACAATGGCACCAAGGACCATAGTGTGGGAGAATATGTCTATACTCCATAATATTAATTTCAAAAGGTTAGAAATGTGTCCCCAAGCATCCCTCTTTCTTGTAATGACCAATCCTATCATTCTCTCTCTCTCATATATGGATGACATATATCAGCTTCTTGAATCTACTTATGTATTTTGTTCGTCACTGAGATAATGATGCCCGCTGTATTATACTTTATAATGTTAGTCTTAAAATGTCCTCATTTAATCTTTAGGGCCCCTTAATTCTAATATTCTAAAATTTCATGGAGTCCACACCCACCCTATCTGAGCTCTTCTTGATTTTATAGATTTCAGCTCTACATTGCATACCCTTAAGGGTTTTGTTTCTTTGCCAAAGCAAAGGTTGTCTTTAATCTGTCTCTAACACAAGGAACAGCATAAAAAGTAACCATAGCCGTGGGCATGTGGAGAAACTGAGGCCAGAAAACTGTTTAGCTTAAAAGGAAAAAAATCTGAAACTCTGCCATCTCAATCTTGTACCAGATGGGCATGTCATTGCTGGCCAACAAAAAATCCAGAGGGGATGTTTTGTGCATAGTCTTCAGCCCTTGTTCTTGAACTTTCTTGTGGCTCAGAATCACCTGGAGCATTTGATAAAAGTGCAGCTTCCCAAACCCCGCCCACAAAGATTCTGATTCAGTAATGAGATGATTACTGGGCTGGGGCTGGGAATGTGCATCTTTACCAAGTACCCCCAGATGATTCTCTGCAGATGGCCTGTGGACCATATTTGGAGAAATGCTGATATACAAGGAGACTGTTTCAGCTCAATAGAAAGAAGGATTTTCTAACAGTGGTAACCCAAAGACGGGATGAGCTGCCTCGAGAGGCAGAGTTCCCATCATTGGAGAAATCCAAGCAGAGGCCGAAAAACATTGTCAGGAGGTCATAGAGGGGATCGGAAGCATCGGATGAGTGCTTGAACTAGCTGACCTCTAGTGCCCCCTTTAGCTCTGAGGGTGCATGATTCAATATTCTTGCTTCTTCTCCAGTCGGTGTATGGCGTGACTGAAGAGTCCCAGTCGCAAAGCCCCGTGCACATACCCAGCCAGCCAATCAGGAAAACTACAAAAGAGGACATCCGGAAACAGGTGAATGAAGTGTCTACTACACTCCCAGGAGGAGACGTGGCCGGTCTGAAAACCCTTTGAGTGTTCACCTCTGAAGGCTGAGTGAGCTTTGAGTTCCTGCAAACCACAGTGGAACCCAGCTGTGGGTGACTTGAACCTTCGAGTGCTGTGTGTGAACAACCCACAGAAGCTTGAGAGGAAAAATTCTCTACCGAGTTCCTCCAGCAGTTATTAGAGAAGCACGTAACTGCGTTTTCCAGTGCTGCGGGGTGACTGCTGTAGTCAGGTTTCCCACAGAATGCTGTGGAGCCGGAGGAGGGAGGGACTCACATCCCTGGGTTCTTAAAATTGTTATGTGCTTCCAGTGGAAGCCAGCTCAGGACCATCGACTTTATTGCTGTGACTCAAAGGAAAGTTTAAGAATAAAGAAAGCCCCACTCCCAATGGCGTTTCAGCATTATTGGGCTCTATGTTATCTTCCTTCATGATGAAGAGTTAACTGGTCAGCCAGGTCTGCAGGCAGTGGCTGCTTCCATTACTCCTTTCTAGAGTTCACTGTAATGAGGAAACTGTAGGGTCTACTCTTTAAATTGTGCTTTACTGGCTTCTGGGAGAGGAACCCAAAGGAGTAAACTGTTACTACCCTTGACAAGTTGATTATTGGGTGGGAAAGAGGAATCAGAGGTATGTAAAATAGCTATTTGATAATTCTAATCAAGTACACCCAGCACATGGGTGTGATGTAGGTGTGAAAGGTGTGCAGAGGAAGATCACTAGAGATTAGTCAAATTGGATATTTATGGTGTGTGTTACCTGTCCATGCCGTTGCTAAGCTTTGCAATCTACTACTTTTAAGTTTGCAATCACTTTTGGGAATCAAGACTTAGAATCTATAACACAGTACAGGAGACTATGTGACATAGGCTAAATTGCAGAGAATGATTCATAAGTATGAATCATTCATAAATGATTCAAAAGGGCAAAATGATTGCTGGAGTGCAAAGCTAGAGGACCAGAGAAGTCTGTCCAGAGGAGGCATTTGGATCTTGGTTCCTGGGGTGAAGGGGAAAAAAAATTCTAGTTTGGTCTTAACACCTCTGTTCTGTTTTTCCCCAGATAACGTTTTTGAATGCACAGATTGACAGACACTGTTTAAAAATGTCCAAAGTGGCTGAAAGGTATGTTTCCCCTCAATGATATTACTGCTTTCTTCTGATTTAACAAAGGAGAAATGTTCTGGGGTTATGGCTAACAAGTGTGTACCATGCCAAGAGGCAGACCATAGTCATTTCTTAAACTGATGGGTGAAAAAAACCACAGGCCCCATGTGAGTACAGCTAGGATGTCAGACTTCCCTTGAGTGATGTCAAGAAATGTTCTATTGCTAAAGCTTTTCAGGGGGTGGACACAGGACCTTGTCAATCAAGGAAGAATGTCCTTAAAAGCTACATACTGCACTTTTTATTCAGTCTCTTGATTAATTCAAATGGAATTGCTCCCTTTTCAGCTATAAAACGCCCAGATTCACTTTATAGGGGGAAAGAAATTATGTGTGCCTTTTGAGGTGCTAGTCGTGCGAACAGGCGGGGACTGGATCATCAGGAGGCGTTCCGCCTCCACACACCATCAACCGCTGAACTGCATCGAATCAACTGGAAAGAAAATATTTGGCACCTCCAGCCTGGCTTGCGCGGGAGCCTTTGTGCTACAATCTGCACCAGTGGCTGGTTCCACTCTGTTAACTCATGGGAGATTCAATTTTGTCAACTAAACGGTCTGTTTTTGAACTCTCAGTGAAGAGGGAAGACTACCTGGGGAATCTGGATGGAATAAATCTGATTAGGCAGCCCCGACCTGAACGTTTATTCATCCATATGCTACAGTTAAAGCGATGACCAATATCTGAAGGATCAAGGGCTTAAGTTGGGTCTTAGTGTTTATTGGATATCAGAGTAAAGTGAGTCCTTTAAGCCCAACTCACACAGGGGGCTGGCTGTGTGTTCAGCCTGTAAGCCTTTCTCTGCTAGACCCTGGGTTGATCCACATCTTCCTTCCAGATAAATAACAACTTGAGGCTAAGAAAACTCCACTCCCAAACCCAAAACCTGAAGTAATGCTCTGCCTTCAGGGGGCAAATACATCCCTGGATTTGGGCTCATGTCTCTGACAGCATCTCTAATCTTTCCCAGGACTTCTCAATAATGTCGCTATTGACATCCTGGGCCGAATACTTCTTTGTTGCAGGAGGCTGACCTGTGCATTATAGGATATTTAGCAGCATCCCTGACCTCTACCCAAAATCCTACCTCATCATTGTAACAACCAAAAATGTCTCCAGGCATCGCCAAATGATCCGTGGGGCAGGACAAAATCAGCCCCACTGGGCTTCACCGGTATTCCTATTTTCCCTAATGCAAATGCTTCAGAAGGTTGTCGTGGCTGGAGCTCAACTTACACTTCGACACCAATTGTTCTGGAATCCCAGTCTCAGTCAACCATGTAGGCTGCGGAGCCACCTCACCCTGCTGTCATAATATGGGACTTCTGGAGTACCAGGCTCTAAAATTGCTTTTTAGATCTCACTGTGGTTGCCTTTGTCCCAGAAGAGTGCTTGTGTGTGAAATAGCTGGGATGACCTCAACTTCATTGGTGTCACAGCCTGTGAGGAACAACAAGCTTCTTTCTCTGTGACAAAAGAAACAGGAATGGCTGTCCTGGTATATTGTGCGAGTCAGTGCTTGCAATGTCTGGCTTTCAAAGGGCACTTTAGAGTTTGTAATCCCAGGACAGCATGTGTGGGGAGCATCGAGTTGCTCGGCTCTAGCGGTTTTGAGCGTGATAATCCACCTGGAGGAGAGGGAATAAGCATGGAGATTCCCAAACCCTAGCTTTAGGGATAGCCAGCCCTGTGGTCTAGTGGTTGAGATTCAGCACTCTCAACGCAGCCCGAGTTTGTTTTCTGGTCGGGGAACCACACCCCCCCATCTGTTGGTTGTCATATTGTGGCGGCTGCGTGTTGCTGTGATGCTAAAAGCTATGCCACTGGTATTTCAAATATCAGCAAGGTCACCGTGGTGGACAGGTTTCAGCAGAGCTTCCAGACTAAGACAGATTAGGAAGAAGGACCTGGCCACCCACTTCCAAAAACATTGGCCTCGAAAACCCCGTGAATGTCCTTGGAGCACTGTCTGATATAGCGCCCTAAGGTGAGAGGATGGCGCGGAAAGACCGGGCAGGGTTCTGCTCTGTTGTACACAGGGTGTAGGAGTCAGAATCCACTCGACAGCACTAACAACAACGGCTCTAGGGATTCGGCTTCAGTGGTTCCAGGTACATCTGAGGAATTTGCGTTCTGAGTAATCTGACCAAGTCTCTGAGGATCTGGTGAAGCCATTGCCCTCCACTCAGGCTGACCTGAGAACTCACATCAGAAGGGACACCCAGCTTTGTCTTATCTTTGGGATGTAGGGAAAGAGCCTGAACCTGTCAGCCTGAGGGAGGCTGACACCCACCGGGCAGGTATGGTGAGGCTGGGAAGGGAGAATGCCAAGGTGGGGGAGGGGAGCCTGGCAGCGCGCATTGTTTGTTTGTGTATGCATTGTTTGTTTGTGTACGTGCTGCCGGGGAGGGGCCCACCTGGTGCCATCTAATTATGCTTGAGAGGCTGCTCACACTGAAGAGACCATTCCAACCAGCCACTCCTCACTCCCCAGCTTGAAGCTTTCATGAGTCTCCGCCCAACAGAGCCTGGATTTTATTCCCAGCAGCAGTAACTGGCAACTTTTCAATGTGACACAAGGGTTTTTCATTAGAGCCACAAGGAAACTCCCAGACAGAAAGGAGGAGGGAGAGAGAGGAGCCGGGTGTTAGCAGGAGATAAAGCAGCCTGGAGCCTTGGTCTGTCAGCGGCTCTTCGGGGGTGGGGACGGTGAGGTAGCACTGGCAGCTGGCCTTGGCTGTGACTGCTCTGCTCACCAGGGGTGAAAGCTGAGCTATCTCAAGTGGGCACACACATCCGCACCCACGCCGGATCTGTTTTCCCTCTGCCTGCCCCAGGTGATCAGTGGTAATTAGCCAGAAGCCGTCAGGCAAAGGACCTCATCCCCCTGAGGACAGGTCCGCATCGTTTTCCACTTAATTCACTGAGAGATGATGTTGGGGAGACGCAGGAGGGCTGGTGATCGTGACGTCCAGTTTTGAAAAGGCGAGGGTGTTGGGTGGGTCAAAGGGTGCAGCCAGGCCCAGCTGGGAAGGAATAAAGAAACTCTGCAAACTAAAGGGGCAGAACAAAACAATTTAAGGGCTGGGTGCAGAGCCAGCCATTGGGGTTTGGATCCTGCCTCTGCCTTCTTCTGACTGTGTGATCTTGGGCAAGTTGCTTCATCTCTCTGTGCCTCTGTTCCACCTCTTTAAAGGGGAGAGAGCAGTAGTACTTAATTTATAGGGTTAATGAGATAATCCATGGCAAGAGCTTGGTCCAGGCCTTGGCCCTTACTACACAAGCGATGCATGTGAACAATTATTATTTTCTAGTGTGGTGCTTAATGGTGCTTTAAAGGAGCGGAATTCAAGTGCATGAGACAGAATGAACCGGGTATATGATGCTCAGAGGAAGAAAGGAAGGGCAGGCCCAGGAGTGGGGCTGGCCCTGCAGATGGCAGTTTTGTGCTAATGCAATTCTGTCCACCCTCTATTCTAAGTCTCCCGCACAGAGAGCCCTGCAGGCTGCCAAATTTGGGCCCTGCAGTCCACAATCTATATGTCTCCCCTTGGCTGCCTCCTATGGCCCCACTGATCTGGCGCCTTTGGGGAAGGAGGGGTAGCGCATGAAGAAGTTGGCTCTTCTGTACAGATTTTCTCAGGTCATCCCAGTTTCAAATATTCTGTCCCATTGTCCCATGAGTGGTTAAATGTCTCTGAAATGCCAACGTTATGGCAACCAAACTATTTCCTAGGCTGCCTTTTGTACCTGGAAGCAGTACAAAAGCCTGTCTGAGGTGTTACCCAATTTTTGCTTTAGAAAGTACACTCCCTGCACATACAAATGAATTTTCCAGATAAATAACATTTAACACCTTAAGCTTTCTGTTTGAACTATTTTAAATGAGAATCTTTCTTAAATATGGTTCATGCACTTGCCTTCTTAAAGGACACTACATTTCAGTTCGTTTATCTGGATGACTCAGGGTCAATGTTCTTGCACTGCACTTTAAAACTCAGTGATCAGGGTTTTATTAATTGCCACAAACTGCTTCCATTTCCCTAAAGGCCCCAGACCTGAGTCTCTGTTTCTGCTCTTTAATTGTTGGTTTGTTTTCTTGTTCCTGGTCAATATACTTGTCTCCAGAAGCCCTTCCTCCTCTCTAACCAATCCCCATTTCCAATCTGTAGCAGACCTGATGTATCAGTTAGCTATTGCTGAGTAACAAACAACCCCAAAACTCAGCAACTTCAAACAACAGGCATTTACTACTGCTCTGTTTGCCAGCTGGCTCTGTGGGGCTCACCCATGTTTCTGTGTGCCCCCGTGGTTGGGTAGGCAGCTCTGTGATCTTGGCTGGGCTCTCTCCCATGTTTGGTTTCACCTGGTTTAAGGTGACCTCTGCTGGGACAACTGGGCCCTCCTGCACATGGTCTCTCATCCTCTAGCAGGCTGGTTTGACCTTGTTGACATAGGGATAACAGGATTCCAAGAGAGAGAGCAGAAGCACGCTCAGCTTCTTGAGGCTCGGAACTGGCACTCTGTCACTTCTGCTGCATTTTATTGGCTAAAGCAAGTCACAAGCCCAGATCAAGTTCAAGGGCTGGGGAAATAGACTTTATGTTTTTCATTGATCTACCACACCAGAAAGTCAAATAACCAAGTTCCTTAACCTTGATCCTAAAGCAGGAGTAAAGAGTCTTCACAAGGTGTGCTCTTCTGAATAGCAGCCATTGAGCCTTGACGCTTCGAGTTTCTTTCACTGTAGACTCTGCTCAGAGGCCCTTTTGGTCACTTATCTCACACACGTTTTCTAATAGTTGAAGTTGACAAATAAATGAGGTCTTAACTCTTCTTTGCAAGAGTTCTCGAGGGAGTCCTTTTTTCGTTCACCCAAGTCTTACAGCACATAACAAACCAACTTTAAGAATGAAAAAATCTATACATTTTAGTTCCCAATTGTCTGGAAAGTCTCTG